AGCAGCGCCTAGCCAGCAGCGCCTAGCCAGCAGCGCCTAGCCAGCAGGAAGCCCTGGAGTCCAGCCCCAGCACTGTTTTAACTACACACAGGGCTCCATGCCTATAATCCCAACACCCAGGAGGCAGAGACCAGAGGATCAGATATTCAAGGTCATCCAAGTTTGAGGTCAGCCTGGGACACCTGAGAGCTTGTCAAGGGGTGGGGGAGGGATAGAAGAAAAGAAGGAAGGGGGCTGGGAAAGAAACCAAGAGAGAAGCCAGGTTTGGTGGCTCACATCTGGAAGCCCTTGAGACGCTGAGGCAGATCATCAACAGTCTGAGGCCAGCATGGTCTACATAGCTCTAACCCAGTCTGGCTTCAGAGGGAGGTCCTGCCTCTCAAAAATGAAACCAAAAGAAGCTGTGGCGATGTCATCCTAGCAATGGCGAGATGAGAGGCAGGCAGGTCTGTGGAGCTCTGCAGTCAGCAAGCCTCAACGGGGCGGTGAAGCTCCAAGTAAATGGGGAACCCATCCTCACTCACCCACCCCCCAAAACAAAGGAAGGTGCCTGAAGATCCACACACGTTCTGTCTGCAGACCTCCAACATGTGTACATGCTTGCACCCACACATACAAAATAAAAATAAATAAAATGATTTGCTTGCTCTCTAAAAAAGAAAAGACGAAAGAAAAATCAGGGTAGAAACTTTGGAAATCTACAGAAAGGCAAGAAATGATGAGCAGGGAGATCTTTTGTCTACTTCTGTTTTATTGTAATTTTTATATATGTGTATGAGGTTTTACCTGTGCGCGTCTGTGCACCATGTGTGTGCAGTGTTTGTGGAGACCAGGAAAGGGTGTCAGATCCCCTGAAGGTGAAGATGATTGTGATCTGCCATGTGGGCGCTGGGAATTGAACCTGGGTCCTCTGGAGGGCAGACAGTTCTTAACCAAGGTCATCTTTCTGGCCCTTTTTGGGGGTGAAGAAAAAGGGATGGGAGGAAAAGGAGAGAAAGAAAGACGGGGAGAGAAAACCGCCTCGGAGGGGGCTGTAAAACAGGTGCGTGGGATTATATTATCTTCTTTTTTTAAGTAAACTCCAATTTTTTTAAAATCACATTTTAAAGATCTACTTTCATTATTTATTTACTTACTTTGGTTTCCCAAGACAGAATTTCTTGGTGTGGTGCTGGCTGTCCGGGAACTCATCTTGTAGACCAGATTGGCCTCAAATCCAACCCACCTGCCTCTGGGATTTAATCCTGAGTTCTGGGATTAACCACCTCCTCCCAGTTTACTTTTCTTGTTTTTATTTATATGTATATGTATTTTGTCACTGAGCAGGGACAAAAGAGGCCGGGAGAGAGTGCCGGATCCCCTGGAGCTGGAGTTTCCGTGGATGTGAGCTGTGCAGTGCGGGTGCTGGGAACTGGACTGGTCCTGTGGAAGAGCAGTCAGTGCTCCTAACCACTAAGCCGCCTCTCTGGCTCAAGTCTTACTACAGCGAGTCAGTATACAATTATTCACTTGTAAATTCACAAGTAGATAAAAAGGACTAAATTTCAAAATCACGTTTATTTGGATGTGCTCATGTGTGTGGAGGCCAGTAAACAGCTTTCAGGAGTCGGCTTCTTCCTTCGCCACGTGGCTCCCAGGGACTGAATTCAGGTTGCCAAGCTTAGCAGCAAATGCCTATGCCCAGCGAGCCACCTTGCCAACCCATCACTGAATGTTTCTGGAGACAGGATCTCCTGATGCCCAGGCTGGCCTTGGATACAACATGTGGTCAAGGATGACTCTGAACTCCTCACCCGCCTTGGCCTCATACTTGAGGTTATCTTTCTGTTTCTGCCTCCTGAATCCTGGGGGAAGAGCATCATCATTTTTTCATCTTTCAAAAATGTGAGTGCTGGAGAGATGGCTCAGCAGTTCAGAGTACTGACTGCTCTTCCAGAGGTCCTGGGTTTGATTCCAGATCAGCACCTACATGGAGGCTCACAGTTGTCTGTAATTTCAGTTCAGGGGATCCAACACTCTATTCTGGCCTCCATGGGCCAAGGCACACACATGGTGCACAGATACACATGCAGGCAAAACACCCATGCACATAAAATAATTTTTTAAAAAAATAATAATAACCAAAACATGAACCTACTGACACCTTATTGAAGACCGTAGCACAAAGCTTTACTTTGTCTATCTGCCTGCCTGCCTGCCTGTCCTTAACGGCCACCACCAACGTCAGGGACAAAGGTCCCTCCTGATTCCTTTGTTCCCTGCCCTTCCCAGCCTTCACTGACAGTATGTCACCAAAGTCAAAATCACACTTTATCCTGGATTCTCCCCCAAAGGAAGCCTTCACCGGCAGATGCCTCTCTAGAAAGTGGCTCCGGGGAGCCAGATCTGGTGAGCAAGGAGAGAGCAGGAGCAGAGATGATTCACTCACGGGGTTGCCATCGCTATGGCAACAGGTACCCAGCCCTCAGGGTCTCGTGGAATGTGTGGCGGCAGATCGGGGGGAGGCATTTTCTCATCATGTGCTCCCACTGCCCCTGAACTGTGACTGCAGTGTAACCCGCGTGCCCTTCTGGGCTGAGTGAGTGTGGCGCATGCCTTTGGGGAGACATCATGGAAGCCAGGCTTCGAATGCCAAGGAGCAGATTATGTTCGTCCCTGACTGACCCCCATCCGCTCCACCCTTGGAACATGTATTTCCTGTGGCCATGTCTGAGGTGTGAGCGGTTGTCAGGTGGGGTTCAAGTAGACCCCAACTTCAAGCACATGAGCTCTGTCCCCAGAGGTCACCCACTCTGGGCTAGCCTTGGCTGGGGTGTCTAGGCTCTTGGAGTGGTGGAGATGGCAGAGGATGCCCTGGAGTCTGGAATCGCCCTGTCTCCAGATCCCAGCTCACCCAGAAATCACTCAGCAGGCATTTTAGAACTCCGGGAAGCCGGCAGGGCCTGGGACAAGGTGAACAGCTGAATAAAGAGCGGAAATTACATCCCAAAGCTTGAGAGGATAATGGGTCCTCTGTGCCCGGAAAGTCTGTAACTCAGAGCCAGAGGACACACTCAGGCCACAGCATGGGGCGAGCTCCATCAGATCGTAGGACACAATGTGTGGCCTGGCTCTTCCTGGGGGGCATAGCCCATTGTAAGGGGCTCCCTCTTCCTATAGGTACAGACCCTGTGGCCTCAGAGCAAAGTGTTCAGAATGCCGCACTGCCTGGCAAAGGTTGTTACCCTGAGCCAGAACTCATCCAGGTACCAGTGTTCAAAGACAGAGGGGTGGAGCCGTGGAGACCTCGCTGCCTGTAGTCGATCGGAGTAGAAGTCGCCAGGGTTTTGCTGCTGCAATTACCATCGTGGGTGATCTGGGGAGACCTGGCGGAGGTGCCTGAGCCTGCTTGGTGGAAGTAGGAGTAGGGCAGTCCTTCTTGGCTCTCCAAATCATATCTCCCCCCCCCCCCCGATCTTACCCTGGGGTGATTTGTTAAGGTAGGGTTAAGGTGTGAATATGGCTAGGTTTGCAGATCGCTGCTTATCTGGTGTGTAGGAGACCCCGTGAGCCCCACCACTGCCTGAACTGGGCGTGGTGGTGCCTGCAATCCCAGCATTCAAGATGTGGAGGCAGGAGAATCACAAGTTTAGGGTCTTTGTGGTGGTTTGAATAAGAATGGCCCGTACTTGGATGCTTATTCCACAGCTGGTGAATCTTTTGAGAAGAATCAGAAGGAGTGGCCTTGTTGGAGGCCGTGTGTCACTGGGAAGTGGGCTTTGAGGTTTAAAAAAATACGTATCATTCCCAGTTCGTCCACCTTGTCCCCCACCTCCCTCTCTGCCTCCTACTTTTGCACCAGAATGTGAGGTCTCAGCTGCTGCTCCAGCTCCATGCCTGCCTGTTGCCATGGTCCCCATCATGACGGCCATGGACTCACCCTCTGAAACTTTAAGTCAGCCCCCAGCTAAGTGCTTTCTTTTATAAGTTGCCTTGGTCATGGCGTCTCTTTGCAGAAATAGAAAAGTTAACTGATGGCTCAGCTATACAATGAACAGCCTGGGTACGGGAGACTCTTCTTTAAAAAAAAAACTTGAGAGATGGCTCAGTGGTTAAGAGCACTGGCTGCTCTTCCAGAGGACCCGGGTTCGATTCCCAGCACCCACATGGCAGCTCACAGCTGTCCGTCACTCCTGTTCCAGGTGATCTGACATGCTCACACAGACATACATGCAGGCAAAACAGCAGTGTAAATGAAACACAAATAAATAAATTTAAAAAAAAAAAGATTACATTGCTGTAATGCTGGATGACTCCCTCTCCAACTCCTCATTCTGGGCATGGAACTCAGGCCTTAAAACATGTGAGGCATTGTCTTAGTGAGGGTTTCTATTGTTGTGATTTAATACCATGATCAAAGTATTTGGCTTACACTTCTATATTGTTGTTCCTCATCAAAGGAAATCAGGAGAGAAGGAACTGAAACAGGGCAGGAACCTGGAGGTGGGAGCTAATGTAGAAGCCATGGAAGGTGCTGCTTGCTGGCTTGCTCCTCCAGGCTTGCTCAGCCTGCTCTCTTATAGAACCCAGGACCAGCAGCCCAGGGATGGGATGGGCCCTCCCCCATTGATCACTAATTTAAAAGATGCCCTAGAGCGGATGTTATAGAGAGCTTTCTCAGTTGAGGTTCCCTCCTCTCTGATGACTGTAGCTTGAGTCACACTGAGATAAGACTAGCCGGCACAGGCGCTACCTCTGTGTTGCATCCCCAGCCCCAGCAAGGTGCTACTATAAGGCTCCTCTATTCTACCATGTCCTGTGGAGGTCTGGAGAGGGGACGGGGTGAGTGGGGTGAGCAAGCCCTGAGCCTCCTTCTGTGCTGCTCTGAGGCTGACCTGTGAGTGTCCTTCCCATGCCGTTTGTCCCTAAGTGGGGATTCCCAGAGGACATGGCTGTGCTTGAGAGGTCAGGAGGGGTGGACAGAGCTCACCCTTCCACCTGCCTCTGCCACGGTGGCCAGGAGGAGGCCTGGCCACAGACTCTTCCAGGCCTGGACTCCTCTGTGCTCCCAAGCAGCTGTGGCCCTTGAGACTTCTGTTTGCAGGACAGGGAGGGGCCTGTCCCTAAAGAAGGAATCTTGTCACTTCTTCCCCTCTTCCTACTCCCTTTTCAGAAATGGTCTACACAGGGTTCTTAAGACCAGGCCCTAGGCCTCCCTGAGACACTCAGTGCCCAGGATCTATAAGCATGGCCACACCCAAGACCCTTGGAGAGGACAGCCAGCAGTGCCTGGAGGGGAGAGGGGGGCTGGGAAATAGTAGCTGATTTCAAAACCTTCCCTAGCTCACACCACACCACACACACACACACACACACACACACACACACACACACACACACGCCAAGACATCTCCGCCCACAGTCAAACCAGCGCTTAATCCTCATCTCTGCTGCTTAACCTCTCCCACCAGGGACCAGGCCCTTGAACCCTTTTGAAGAGCCTTTTGAGGGCTCAGGAGACATGGTTGCCAGCAATCCTGAGGTCCCCAGCCCCGAGGGCAAGAGGGGTTTCTTATCCAAAAGCTGTGGTGCCAGCATCCCTGGAGCCTCAATACATCTCAGAGACCCCGATCTGCTGTAGAGGACACCCCAGGCTGCTGGCGCTGGCACCCTGGTCTCACGCTTTTCATGCTGATGCCTGTCTGAGTTTTCTTCTAACACGCTCACCTAAGGGAGGTCCAGTCGAACAGAATGTATCCAGAACCGTATGTGTGTGTGTGTGCGCGCGTGCGTGTGTGTGTGTGTGTGTGTGCGCGCGCGCATATGTGTGTGTGTACACATGGATCTACAAGTTCTGTATGTGTTTGTGTGTGAGTATATGTTCATGTGTGTTTATGTATGTGCACACGCATGTAGAGGCTAGAGGTCAACATTAGTTGTTGCTCCTCAGGAGTCACCAACTTTTATTTTTTAATTTATTTGATGTGTGTGGGTGTGTTGCCTGAATGTTTGTCTGTGCACCACATGCATGCCTGGTATCCTTACAGGCCAGAAAAAGGTGTTGGATGCCCTGGAAGAAGAGTTACAGACAGTTGTGAGTTGCCACGTGAATGCTGAGAATAGAGCCTGGGTCTATTCTCCAGAAGAGCAGCCAGTGCTCTTAACTACTGAGCCATCTCCAGTCCCACCCCACCCCACCCTCTTTTTTAAATTTTGAGACAGCGTCTCTCATTGGACTGGAACTTACCACATAGGCTAGGCTGGCCAGTGCCACCCCCCGCCCCCTAGCCATCTGTCTCAGCCTCCTCAGTGATAGGATTACAATTGTGATCGGTAACTAGCTAATTTTTGTTTGTTTGTTTGTTTTCTTTCTCTCCTCCCCCCCCACACCAGTTCCTGGAATTAAACTCCCTGAGAACAGTTTACTCACTGAGTTGAAGTTGTCTCAGCAGCCCCAGAACCTCTTCCAGGTTGAACAATTCAGGGCAGAATCAGCCTGAGGCAGAGTCTGCACTGCTCTCCAGAGCGTTAAAGGCACAACCTGGCCTGGTGCCCAGCAGGTAGCAGGAACCATTCTGTCCCCACTGAGAAATAAACATTATCCTGGATGCAGGACACTGGGCTGAGGCCCAGCAGCTTCCTCTCAACTCCCAGAGGGGTGGGTAGGCCTTGGGACAGTACGCAGGGTAACCACAGTGGAATGCCAGACACTGGTGGGCCACTTTTGCACCAGGATGCCCCAATTCTGAAGCTCAGAGTGCAAGCTGGGCACTTTTTTTTTTTTTATTTGATAAAACTGTGCAAACTTTAACACCAAGGTGTCAAGGAACTGGGTGTTTCGGTTTTCGTTTTAGTCATAATTTAAGTCTTCGAATGGTAGAGAGGAGAAAACAGCTAAGTGAAAAGCAAAAATACGGGCTTCCTGCGTATCGTCACCATCGTTTGTTTCAAAGCTGAATGTGTGTTCATTCAGACAGAAAATTCAGGCACAGACCAGCCAAGCAAGTCTGGGATGAGACAGACGAGATGGAGAAGATAGGAAGGCTGTCCTCCCTCTCTCTTCCTGCTCACTGTCCCTCTGTCTGTCTCTCTGTCTCTCTCTCTCTCTCACACACACACACATTTTCAACATGTTTAGTAAGTGCGTACTTATTATAATAAATATGTTTTTTTCAGCCCCACACACGGAAGGGGTCCTCGGAAAAGTGGGAGGAGAGAACCAATTCCACAAAATTGCCCTATGATCCCCTACACGCTCATGTGGCACGGCACACACATCATGCAATAATAATTATTTTCATTTAAAAATCCATCTCTACAAAGAACCTCTTATAAATGTTCTCCTGTTATGAGGTGAGCAAGTAACAAGAAAAATAAAAATAAAACCATTTCTCATGACACCCTCCCTCCCGGAGCCTCTCACATAGCCTGTGAGTGACTGACAGACTGTGGACTTCCTCCTTCCTCCTTCCCCCCTGCACCTGTATGTTGGGCACACACAACTCCCCAGGCCTGGGCCCAGATGGTGCAGCCGCTGCTCTTAATGGCTGAGTCACTTCTCCAGTCCCAGGCCCTGAGCTTTCAATCCTCCCGCGTCAGTCTCCTGAGTAGTTGGTACTGTGGCTACCCTCCTCCCCTTCCTTTCCTTTAAAAATATTTTTATGAGTATGTTATTTTGCTAACATGTATGTATGTGTGCTGTGTGTACGCGGTACCCTTGGAGGCCAGAAGAGAGTACCAGAACCCCTGGAACCAGAGTGACAGGCAGTTGTGTGCAGCCATGGGGAGGGCAGGGTTTCGGGGAGGCTGTGAGCTTGTTACATCTCTACACTGGCTGCATGAGAAGCTCTCCCCAGAACTCCAATGGGGGGAGGGGAAGGGCCAACCATGTACAGAACACCCAGACCTTGGAGGCTGGATTTCTGCTCTCATCTTGAGCTCCTGTCTCCTCACTCGGTGGCAGATTGAAGGTCTTGTAAAGGGACAGGGAGGATTCGGGAGCCTACATCACCCAGAATCTCAGGCAGCCTCCCTGCCCAGCGCCCAACCCATGAGCTAGCCAGGGAGGCCACCTTGTCACACCTCATCCTCTCCATCAAACTGGCCCCCTTCCCCTTTCCACGGTGACCCCACCACCCCTCCCCTCTACTCCAGCGCCCACCCACACGGTCTTCCTTGTCACTCACACGCCTTTGCTGACCCCCCCGCCCAGCTCTTCCTCCGCTCTGTTCTCTGTCCACACCGACACAGCCAGTTGTTCATTTCTGTTCAAAGCCTGTTGTGTGCCCGTGCGCATCCATCCCTCCCTGCTGCCCCGAACTTCTCTATTCAAGATCTCCTGGGCCATCCCCAGAGCCCCTCTTTATGCTCCTAATTGGTGTCCCCAAAGTCCTCCATTTCCTTCCATCTGCCTTTGTTGGGTCCTTGAGGACTTTCTGGCCTGTAGCCATTCCTTCTGTGACTACCTTCCTGAGACACTCCCCCAAGGACTGCCACTGGCCTTCTGCAGGGTTTTCTCTGAGTTTCCACAGTGACTTAATCCATGGCTTGTCATCCTCCTGAGCCCTGGTATGGGGCACTGTGTTGGACTTTACAAATGACTGTCACAGCCCAAGGTCTTGAGATCTGGGACCTACCTGCATCTGGAAAGAGCCAGTTCAGACCATCTGACTACACAGTGCCCACCCCATTTCTGCCCGCTGCCCAGGCCACTCTACCCGTGCCTGTGACCTTTCCCCCGGCTAGCATTGCTACACTCGGGAGCACTCTGCTCTTGTGTGAGGCCTGGATCTTACTCCTAGCCCTGCCACCACCTTGACTCCTGTGTTGGATGCTGAGGTTGCAATAACATGCTCTCTGCTGCCTGTTCTTGTCCGCCGCACCTCAGCTGCCAGGTTAATCTCCCGAGATTACCGTCAGGAGTGGCGCCTTGATCACCTCACTTGTCAAATGCGGGGTTCCAGCTCGGTATGATCAGCGTCTTTGGAGCTCAGATAAATCCTTTGGAATCCTGAGGACCATTATCCCCCCAAAATGTGTGTGGCTCAGGGAGACTGCTGGTGGAGCTGGTGTCAGCCTAGCCTGCCGGGGCTTGGAAGTGCCCAGTCAAGGAGCCGGGTCAGGGGGGAAGGACCAGTGGGGGAGGACTAGTGGGGGAGGACCAGTGGGGGAGTCCTCCCTTGCTCACAGGGTAGAGCCCAGGGGAAAGGGCTGCATGGGGATCCTCTGCTGTACCAAACAGCCACATCAGCGACCTACTCCCTTGTCCTTTGGTGTTCCTGTGTAAGCCAGTGTGAGCAGAGACCGAATCCTGCTGGGGGCCAGGGGAATTCTTCAGTCTGTTTCAGCCATCTCGGCAGTGGCCCTGGGTACAACTCAGCTTGCAGAAGCACTGTTCTCATCCCTACTTCCATCATTCCATGAAGGGGCGCTCCGTATCTGTGTCCAGATTCTCTCGTCCTCTGAGGACACCAGGGACAGGGGAGCAGGCTTCCGCCCTCAGGGCAACTTCAGCTTAACTGGATGATACGGGCAAAGATCCAGTCCCTATCAAGGTTCCAAGAAGGACATGTGTTTGGGGACTATTCAGTCCTATACTGGGCCAAGACAAGATAAGAAATCTCAGATGTGGTTTGCAGGGGCAGCCTAGAAATGTCTCTAGGAAGCAGAGGGCAGGGCAGCAAGGGGTGCTGATGCCAGTGGCGAGGGCAGGACCAGAGACAGCCATGTTGGACGTCTTAGGAGTTTGTAGACAGAGCCAGAGGAGGTCAGCCTCACCAGGACAGTCCCACAGATGCTACAGTGCCCTGCATCCCCAGCCTCGCCTGGAATGGAGCAGCTGCCGGATGCCAGGCCACTGGCTCTGTGAGAGACACATGCGCAGACTGGTCCTTGAGGACCAGCCCCGTAATTACCCTCCGCTGCCAACAAACAGCATCCACGTCAGTGATAAGCCAAGCCAGGCAGGAGGTGCGCCAACCCACAAACACCTCAGAGGTGGGCCTGGTCCTGCTGACATCAGCGGCTCTGCTGCCGGAGACAGAAGCATCCCTGCACCGCCAGGAGGGAGAGGCCCTTCCCTGGAGGAAAACCGAGCTAGCCGATTGCAGACCGCCAGGCAGTACCAGAGCCCGCTGGAAACTGCTATCTTCTGAGTGAGGTTTTGCTGAGAGCCTTTCTGGGCAAATGACACATTCCTGATGTGGCTCTCCAGGTCCAGGGATCTAACTTGATAGCCATGGAGGCATGTGAAGATCACTTCCCATCCTGCCTCATTCTCTAAGCCCACCTTTGGAGCCATCTGCAGAGGCAAGCTGGGGCCACCGTGCTATGTTCAATTTTGTAAGGGACCGGAAGACACACACTAAGCCTGTGGCCGCTGACACTCAGACCCCATACCTGTGCCTCATGCTGAATGACCACAGGACCTGGAAGGAGGTGGTGTGGAACGGGCCAGATTCTGACACAGTCCTCGGGACTGTGGCTATTGAAGCCCCAGATCCACAGTGTCCAGGAAGGAGGCCACAAGCCACACGTAGACTCTGAGCTATTAAAAGTGCAGACTGGTAAAATCCATAAGGGATTTCCAAGGCTTAGAAGGGCCATGATAATGAGGAGGCAGGCTCCTCAATGTTTACATTGAACACATGTTGAAGCAACAATATTTGGAGACATGGGAATAAACACATACAGTATTAACACTTGCTATGCTGACTTCTCTATTAATTTATTTCATTTGTGTATGAATGTTTGCCTGCTTGTGTGTATGTGCACATGTGTGCTAGTTGCCCAGGGAGGTGCAGATGGTTGTGAGTTCCCATGTGTGTTCTAGGAATCAAACTTGGGTCCCCTACAAGAGCATCAAATGCTCTTAGTCACTGAACCATCTCTCTGGCCACCACTCATCCCCCTTCTTTTCTTTTTCTTTTTTTTTTTTTTTGCTTTTAAAATGTGACTAGCAGAAATGTAAACATCACAGCCATATGTGGCGGGCGACTCACACCTATAATCCTAGCACTCCAGAGACTGAGGCAAGAGGATTGCTGAAAGTGTGGATCTAACCTGGGAGACAATGAGCTCCAGATTATCCTGAACTGGAAAGAAAGATCTTGTTGCAAACAAGATAATCACATCATTGAGCTGGGCATGTTGGTCCCAGAGCTCAGAAGGCAAAGTCAGGAGGCAGGGACTGTTGGAACCTAGGGGTTCAAGACCCTGTCCCAAAATAAACTAAACCCCAGAGATAGCACTCAGTCATTCTTTTTGTTTTGTTTTGTTTTGTTTTTCGAGACAGGGTTTCTCTGTAGCTTTGGAACCTGTCCTGGAACTAGCTTTTGTAGACCAGGCTGGCCTCGAACCCACACAGATCCACCTGCCTCTGCCTCCCAAGTGCTGGGTTTACAGGTGTACACCCCATGGCTGACTTCAAAGTTGTTGGGTTTGTTGTTGTTGATGATGTTGTTGTGATAACCTGCTAGTATGGTGTGTTAGTTTGCAGTGATGTACTTGCCTAGCATGTGTGGGCACTAGGTTCAAATCCGGGCGCTGCATTAAGGAACTAAACACAGTTGCCAAGTGCTTGCCTGGGAAGCACAAGGGTGTGATGCACAAGAAAGAAAAAGGTCTGTTTAAACAGAGGTCTTTGTGGGCAGGTATACGTCACCTTCCCACTCCCAGGTAGAAAAAGGCACCCTGGCTTCTCTTTTCTTTCTTCTTTCCCTTCCATCTCCATCTC